AAAAAAAAAAAAGGCTGGGGATATAGTTCAGTCATAGAGCAACTTGGGTTCAATCCCCAGTACAAATAATAATAATAATAATGTGTGTATATATAAAGAGACAGAAAGACATATACACACACAAAGATAAAGGACACTGATAATATCCATATCTATTCAACCCCAAGTCATCTAAGCTAGAAGTAACAGAATTGGCATTAATTTCGTATTTTTTTAAAATATTTATTTTCTAGTTGTAGTTGAACACAATACCTTTATTTTATTTATTTATTTATTTTTATGTGGTGTTGAGGATCAAACCCAGGGCCTCGCACATGCTAGGCAAGTGCTCTACTGCTGAGCAACAACCCCAGCCCCTAATTCCCTATTTTTAACAGGACTTTATTCATTCACTTACAATTACCAAATGTATTGTAAATCAGGCACTGTGCAAAAGCAAATAAACAAATATTCGGGAAATTATGCTGTAATTAACAATGCTGATTCAGTCTCTTAGAGATCAGGGTTAAGTTCTCCAGCTGCAATAAATTTCAAAGCTGAGACTCAGTGAATAAAGATTTAGTAATTACAGACAAAAACAAATTTTAAAAGTGTGCAATTCTCCCCAGGCTTATGGAATCTAACTAAGCATTTGAAACTGTAGTCTACATGATATCCTTTTAACACACTGGAATAATATACAGTAATTTGAGGTTAAATTTGTAACCCAGCTTCCGAGTGTAGCACCCTAACTTATGCAACACTAAAATCTGAGTAATTTGGTAAGTAGAACAGAACTATTATTCTAAGAACCTGGCTTATAAAATTCTATGAGTAGTTAAATTCATTTTCTTTTATCTAGTCTCAAGGGAAAAGCACTACAATGAGCTACCTGCTCTTAAACTTATAAATTCAAACAATACTTGCTGGTTGGAGACTGATAACTAGAATAGAACTAATATTCTAAGAATCTGGCTTATTAAAGTCTGTGAGTAGTTAAATTCACTTTCTAAGTCCAAGATTTTTTTTTTACCCTACGAAACATTACAATTAGTTGAAGCTGAAATAAATCAGCATTTAAAAAAATGGATAAAGCCAGGCATGGTGGCAGACACCTATAACCCCAGCAATATGGGATGCTGAGACAGGAGATCACACGTTTCAGGCCAGCTTCAGCAATTTAGTGAGGCCCTAAACAAGTCAGCAAGACCCTATCTCAAAATAAAAAATAAAAAAAGGACTGAGGATAAATCAATGGTAAAGCACCCCAGAGTTCAATCCCCAGTACTAAAAGAGGAAGAAAAAAAAAAAGGATAAAAACAGCAGGCTTCAGATCAAAGAGCAGTTACAGTATTACAAGAGAATATCTGAAACAAAGGCAAGATGGAAACAGTTTGTGTCTGGCTAAATCAAAAATGTTCCTAGAGGGGCTGGGGATGTGGCTCAAGCGGTAGCACGCTCGCCTGGTATGCGTGCGACCCGGGTTCGATCCTCAGCACCACATACCAACAAAGATGTTGTGTCCGCCGAGAACTGAAAAATAAATATTAAAAAAAAAAATGTTCCTACAGCAAAGTGATGGGCTGCAGAGGATAAAGCCGACTCCACAAGAATATAAATATCAGGTAAATGCAGGCAAGAGAGAACCAGTAAATGGACTGAAGTCCTAGTTCAGTGGTAGAGCACTTGCCCAGCATGTGTGAGGCACTGGGTTCGATTCTCAGCACCACATATAAATAAATAAAGGTCCATTAACTTAAAAAAAAATTTAAAATAGAACCAGTAACTAACAATAAGATTAAAAGTATCATCCATATTTTAGGCAACCACTTATGCAAATACAATCAATGAATTCCAAAAATGCTAAATTCTTTTCCTTTAGAATCCATAATATTTAACTTCGTAAAAGAACATTCCTGTCTCCTCTGCATCTCAGATTTAAAAAGAGGTTCATACAGAGATTAAGTAACTTGTTTAAGATCATATAAGCAGCAATTAGTAAAACCAATTAGAGTACAAAATCCAGTACTCTAAAGCCCCCCTATCTTTCCACTAGCCTAAAGGTTTGGTTTGGTTTTGATTTTGGTACTGGGGATTAAACTCAGGGGCACTATACCAATGAGCCACATCCCCAGTCCTTTTTATTTTTTTAAATTTTGAGACAGGGTCTCACTAAATTGATGAGGCTGGCTTTAAACTTAAAATTGTCCTGTCTTGCCTCCCTAGCCCCTGGTATTACAGGCTAGTGCTACCACACCTAGCAGCCTAAAAGTTTTTGAAAAAAGAACTATGATGATTAAGCCCAAATGCTATATTAGACAGTGCTGGAGATAAGGAAAGCAATTAGGAAGTTATTGTAAAAGGCCTTAAGGCATCAAATAATATCCTAACAATAAAAATTGAAAGAAAGGCAGAAATTTTGAAAGAATTCATACTGCACATGTGGAAGGTGGGCAGTGGAGGGAGGAAAAAAAATGCTAATAATTTAAGATTGGATGACTTGAGAGGTTGCTTTAGGACTATATTGCATGGTAGGCAAGTGCTCTACCACAGAACCACACCCACATCCCTGAATATCATTATTTTTATAAGATGATTAACTCAAGGAAATTACTATACCTGCCCCCAACCATATCCAACAGCAATTTACAATGTGCTGAGCTCTGCATATGGAAGCACAATACACAAAGGGGGATAACTGTCTTTGATGAGGTAAGTGAGGAGCCAGGCAGTGCTTAAATAAGGTAACAGGGTTATTGCTAGCAAGGTAATAATTTAAACTCCTGGGCACTTTCACAACTTGAGGATACTTTGGTTCTTGTTCTCTCTCTCTCTCTCTCTCTCTCTCTCACACACACACACACACACACACACACACACACACACACGTGCGCTGTGCGATTAACCCAAATATCAAGATATAATTTTTCACTTATGACCTCAAAATCTTTAAGCTCTGATAACCTGAGACCTCTAACAGGTACTACATAATTTTACAATGATCTATTTATGTGCTTGACTTATTCGTCCTTTTTTAAAAAATATAACCAATTGCTAAGCACAGAGTTTTCACTCAATAAAAGGTGAATGAATTTCTGTTTATGGCTTTTTAGAGAACATCCAACCATCTTTTTCTACTTCCCAGATATTTTTTTCCTCAAGAGAGAATTCCAAGCAGGAAAACGATGCTCTGGCCTAATGAGAGCTTATCCAGACCCCGTGGTTGAAATCTATGTTCCACTCATTTGATATGCTTCACCTTGTGGACACGTCACGATACAAATAAGGACTCAAGAATGGCACTTCCAGAGGGCGTGGTGGTGCACGCCTGTAATCCCAGCGATTCGGGAGGCTGAGACAGGAGGATCGCCAAGCTCGAGAGCGGCCTCGGGGAACTTTGTGAGCCCCTCAACAACTTAGCGAGACCCTGTCTCAAAACAAAATAAATAAAAAGGATTGGGGTGTACTACAGTTCAGTGGTAAAGCGCCCTGGGTTCAATCCTCAGTACCAAAACAGAAAAAAGAATGGCACTCGCTCAGAGGTCTATTTTTCCCTTCTTTCATGCAGGCACTGAACAAAACAAGGCGTCGGGAAGCGTCCAAGGTCACCTCAGTGGGTCAGCGGGCAGAGAGGATTACTGCTGACCCCGCACAAAGTCGACGCTCTCAGCCTCGGGGGGCGGTTCCCAGGCTCCATTATGCCCAAGCCAGGACCCATCTCCTCATCATCCACCGCAAGGTCACTGAAGTCTTGGGGTGGGGGAGCACAGGACCGAGAAGCCAACTGGCTGCCCAAGTCCGCACTGCCTGCGGTTATCAAGCCCACGTCGACGAGCTGCGCCTGGGTTCGGTTGGCACCTCGGGAGACTGAACAGGGGAAAACGAGGGCCGAGGGCAGAGGGGTAAAGAAAAGCAAGGGCAGCAGATGAAGCTCACCAAGGCTCTCTCGCATACTCCTCCATCTTGACTCCAGCCGCGCGGGCGAAGCCGGGCAAGCTGGGCGGAAACTGACCCCAGCGGCGGAAGTGATCCGAGAGAAGGGCGTTACGGTCTACGGGGATTGGTTCACCGCTTCCCTTCGCAGCCAATGGCAATCGGGGCTCCTGGGGGCAATGCGTGGGCGGGGCCCAGGCCCGGCTCAGTAGGACTAGCCCCGCCCAGGTCCTCGAAGGCTGTGGGTCTGGGTTGTGTAGGCAAAGAGCTGCCAAGTGACAGAGTTCAAATTACTCAGTCACTGAAGTTCCGTGGCCTGAGATAAACCTGATATTATTCCGCTAGTGTTCATCAAGCTTCGTAAATACTTTACGGTTCCTTTTTTTTTTCTTTTGAGATACTGGGGATGGAACCCAGGGCCGCGCACTTGCTAGGCAAGCATTTTACCACTAAACAGCATCCCTGATCCTTTTAATTTTTTTAAATTTTGATACAGGGTATCACTAAGTTGCCCAGACTAACCTCCTACTTGTGATCCTTCTGCCTCAGCCTCCCCAGTTGCGTCGCTGGGATTATAGGCATGAGCCACCAGACCCTTCTGATGCTGCTGCTGCTGCTTCTCCTTCTTCTTCCTCTCCCTCCTCCTTCTCCTCTTCCTTCTCTTTCTTCTTCATTTTTTTCTGTAAATTGTGAGTTAATGCTATCTAATTCATTGTGAACTGTGAATCTCTTAGCAGCTACACATAGCTCCTTTAGGGGAGACGCTGTCTCATTGCCTTATAATCACAGTGCCTGAAATGTAATAGATGCTCAATAGACGTTTCTGAAATTGAACTGCTTGAGCCCGCTGAAAAGCCATGACCAATTGGACCCTTGATTTGAGGGACTTGACTCCAGAGCCTCTTCTGAGCCTCCCCACTAATGATCACAAAAAGGCATGAGAAATTTTATCCCTGAGAAAAGAAACTAAAATGATGGGTACCCATTAGATTGTTTTAGCTAACAGTCAGCAAAAAATAATCATGCGATGGTTGTGGAAGGAGTTCTGTATTTTTTACTTTAAAATGTATACATTTTTTGTTTCATGGAAAAGTCAACGTAATAAAGACTTCAATGAAAAGTGAGGTTCCCTCCATTGGCTTGGAAATAACTTAAGCACATGGATTAAACCCTTAATAGAACTAAAGATTAGCAGTGTCTTATATATGTGAGAAGAACAGTTCAGACTAGCCATCTGATATGGATATATACATTCCAAAGGAGGCCTGTTTGGATTGTGTGACTGTCATTAAGAATACTTAAATCTAATTTATTCTACAAGCTGGAGAGAATAAGGGAGAGAGACAGTATGAGACTAGAAGGAGGAATTCAGAGAGCAAGTATTTAATCAGCACTCCAGACATAAATATTTCAATGACTAGAGATTGGCACTCTCATGGGGCAAGGATAATTTTTCTGGCCTCACAGTCAGGTGGGGTGAAGGAGACTAAGTTTCTTTTCTTTGCTTCCTAAAGAGGCCATGTGTAGTTGCTGAGACCTTCATAGTTCACAACCAATTAGGAGGTGTTAATTCACAGTTGACAGAGATCTTTGCTCTTCCTTGGTCTCAATTTTCAAGCTCTTCCAACCTATTATTCCTTATTCATTATGCAATCTTCTAATTATGATTTGGTTTCTGAATATATTTCCATATAGGAGTTAATTCCCGGGCCCATGCTTTTAACTATTCTTGTCTTTCTGGTAGTTAATATTGGTTTCTACATCTGCTTCTTTTGAACTTGATTCTTTTGACTCAGTCACCAGGAATAGTCCAGGTTCTCCAGAGATATAGAACCAATAGTAGATAGATAGATAGATGATAAAAAAGAATGAGAAACTGAGTCATGCAATGATGGAAGATGAGAAGTCTCATGATCTGCATTTGTAAGATGAAGACTCAAGAAAGCTGGCAGGATAGATTCGCCCAAAGCCAAAGGCTCAAGAACCAGGGGAGTCAATGGTATAAATCCCAATTTGAAGGCAGGAAAAGATGAGATGGGGTATCCCAGATCAGCAGTAAGGCAGTGCTAATGTCTCGTGTGGCATTCGGCTAATGGTGGCCCGTACTCGGGATGTCTGAAGCTTGGGGGTAAGTGAATTTGCTCGCTCCCGAAGGAGAGCAAAAAAATGGGTGACCATCTCAAAAAACAATGTGTTCTTGTTGTGATTTATTTTGTTTTTATTTCAAGTTGCCTGTTCCTAGAACTTT